ATATATATATAAAGAAAGAAAACAAAATCAATTTAGGGTTGACTTTCGGAAAACTTAAACTAAAAGACTCCGTCTTTCTGGAAACCATACGTTACTCATTTGTACTATAAAATAAATTTAATAGCAATCTGCTCATGTAACAACACTTGGCATTACAAGTTTTTAAATTAAATCATACTATATCACACTTGTTTTTCAATGTTTTTTGTTTTCTTTTCAGCTGAGAGCGTTATGTTCACAGCTGACCATCTCTGAGGCAGAAGTTGTCAGATTGACACAAACTCACACCTCTGCAGAGGAAGACTGGAAAAACGAAAGAAGTCGTCTGAAGTCTGAACTCAACCAGGCAACTGCACAAAAGGTAGACTGTAGTTTTACAGCAGGAAGTTTCACAGCACCTACTCTTGATTTCAGTTCCATCAACTGTGTGTTTTATATTATATGCCAGCACAAATCAGAGTGATTGAAAGCCATCTTTTCTACTGTAAGCAAGGATCACAAACATAAAAGCCAACAAGAAACACAGTACCTTTTGAAGACAGGGGAGATGTCACACTGAAAAGCTATTTTTAGACATTTTGTTTACTTCACTGTTTTTCTTACTGTTGGGTTTGATAGTTTCTGAGTGCACCGTGCCTTTTGTTACTCAGGAGCTCCTGACAGAACAAATTCAGATCCTACAAGGAAAACTGTCCTGTTTAGAGGATGAAATGAAGAAGGCTACGAAGGAGGACGAAGGAGAAAACATGGGTCCTGTAATGGAGGTAAAGCATACTTTTTACAACAGCAAACAAATGATTCTGTACTTAAATTAAAAGATGAACCTTGGTGTTATAATAGATGTTTATTATGTGTTTCATTTTCTTCAAATTGCCAGAGAAAACTGGAGACTGAAATTTCTAGTCTGAGGAAGGAGCTTGATTCCACACTTTGCTCTCTGTCAAAGGTAGAAGACGACATTCAGACCAAAAACCAGAAAATGTCTGACTTCCAACAAGAAATCAATACACTACAACAGCACATTGCTGTCTGCGAACAAGAAATGGTGACACTACAGGAGGCAAAGAAAGAGACTGAAGATCTTCTAAATAATGAGATCCAAATTCTCAAAGATCAAGTTCAGTGTTTGAGTGAATCCCTGCAGACTGCAACAGATCAGGTTCAGGCTAAAGAAAACCTGCTGGTTCAGAAAGAAATGGTATTTTCTCAGGAAAAGAACTCATTTCAAAATACAATCACAACCTCTGAGGAGGAAATCAGACAACTTAAAGAAGAGATCCAGACTGCAAAGAATCAACTGGCTTCCCTGAAAGAAGAGAGCTCCATTCACTC